GAAAATGTGTGTTTCTGACCATATTTCTGTTGTTCTTGACCTTTGACCGATCAACTCCAACAGATCATCGTCTAAACATATCCTCCCAAGTACAATTTCCATCAAGTTTGGTAAAATCAGTCCGTGTATTGTGGAGTGATTTTTTTACAAACACACACAGGGGTGAAAACAATACCCTGCTTCCTGCATACAAGGTATTAATTAAAAATTGGGATCACAAAGGATTTTATTGATGAGGAGTGTGAATCGATGTTTCGGCTTCCAACAACTCACCTTTCTCTTGACATCAAAGGTAATGCTGAAGAGAAGAGAGGCATAGAAGCTCATCTCCAGGATATAATACCAGTATTGAGACTCCAGCATGGACTGCAGACAGACAGAGAGACAGAAAGCATTGGACAACGTGTAACATGAAGCCACAGCAAAGCCCAGTCCCACCGACAGAGGGTTCGTCCCTGAGGGCAGTGCTCTTTGTCCTAACACCATTAGCGTAGGAGAAGAATCTATTGTTCACTCTGAGAAGACACCTCCCAGGTCTTCTCTGTTTTTCAACAACATGATATACAACCTCATAATGAAGATCATGTGTACCGAGGCTGAATTACATCACAGTATTGTAATGAAGGTCCCGTTTTCATAGAACGTGGAATGTCAGCGCATAAACCTTATTTGTATTTCAGAATCAGAATCAATTTCTATAAATATTCTCCATAAAGACGTAATAAAGACACAAGTACAGCAGAAAATATTTCCTCTGTCCTGCTTCCATGATATAAAACCAATCCCACACAAACAACAACACTGCTGTGTTCTTCTCAACACAATTTTCAATCAGGCAGCAAAACCTGGGGTTTTAGATGACACACACACACATCATATAATTATAGATATAGTAATAATAGTGTTAAAGGTGTTAGTTATAACAGAAAGATTTCAAACCTAAGAAAAATGATGATTAAAAAACTTTGGTAGACACTTTGAACTGAATGGAAATGTTAGATCAGGACTCCATGGCCAAAGGTATGATTTTACAAACCTGCTGTGGAAAGCCTGTCCACACTTCCCGAGTGTCATAAAACCATTCCTTCTGCAACAACAGGGAGGGACATGTTATTACATTTGCATTTGGTAATTTGAAATTTAAAGTAGAAGTGTTGAAGAGGTAAGGACTTCTGTGTGAGATATACAGTAGTGCTCCAACCACAAGGCTGCCGGTGAGGTGTAGCTGCCTTGAGTTGCTTTTCATAATGAGAGGCTGTTCCTTCATTCTACTCACATCATACAGGGCTGCTAGTCCTCCTACGAACGCCAACAGGTAGAAGACAAACCTCCAACTGTAGCAGAGGAATCACAAATGTATACTGTGGCTTTTAGATGTAATGCATCATATTTTAATTATTATTAGAGAGAGAGAGAGAAAGAAAGAGAGAGAGAGATGGGAGATAAATTCAAAAGAAGATGTGTGGCGATGGGAGGGGGGGGTCAATACTGACCAGACTTCTCTGAACTTCTTCAGGACTCCAGGATGGTCCTGATTACGTCTTCTTCTGAACCAGCGCTCCACTTGTCTCACTGACAGACTGCTTTTCTTAGACAGCCCATCAATGTCTGCCTGAAAGTGAGTGTTTACACACACATGAACGTGTGTGCAGAGCATACTTTAAATGTAAGTATATGTCAACACCTCTGTGCAGTCTAGTTATAATTGTTCAACGAATGGTGTCAAAAGTGAGATTTGTAAATGAATAGATTCACATTGATTTTCATGTTTCATGAGTGTTGCTCCAAAACAATATTTTTCTTTATTCAAGGAATAGTGAAATTAGCAGCATCTAGATAATGTGAAGGGTAGAATGGATTACACTCAGTAATCAGACTGAAGGAAGGATGGGAACCGATCCATTTAAAACCTTTTTAGAAGGATTTTAAAATCGGCTAATATTAGGCATGTGCAGTGATTTCAGTATTGAGACAGATATACCATCCGCTGGCGGCTGCTAACCCCTGCTAACATCTACTGGTAGTTGGTAACTTAAATTGTGCACAAGACCTTCAAATGTCCAAGGGATATTCATCTTGTCCTATATTCTAAAATAAAGACAGAAATAGTAACATTTATTGGAACATTTGAGTGAAAACGTGTTTGACTGGACTGTAATAAAAACTACACAAGTTCAATGTTGAAAGTGTATTCCTATTATCTCAACCACTTTCTAATATGAAGAACCCAAAGTTTACATAGTGTTGTTTTCTGAGCTCAGTCAATAAGTAGCTCAGTAATACCAGAGGATCCATGACAGATCTAAAGGCTTATTTGTTCCCACTGGCATCTGTTAGTCATAGAGCGTGTCCTGCAGAGATCACACGTCTGCAGCTGTCAGCAGTACAGCCTGACTATGTAATATTTTATGTTATCATACTGCTAAACAAAATACAGAATTTAAACTATCACGGTCACAGAATGAGTATTTGAGTGGATTGTGACTGCTGTTTACCTGAGCAGGATGTCTACACTGAGAGGTGTAGTACAGTTCCAGGATGGGGTTGTCCTGTGCTTTCAGATGGACTCTCTGCCTGATGCCAGCAGAGACAGCAAGTGGTGTTGCTATCCAACTAAAACAAAGTTATACAAGATTCAATTCTAACAACGTCAGTGTAGGACATGTAGTTTATAATAATGAGGATGTAGGTTTCCATGAAGCATAATCAATACCTTTATTTACACACAAACACACACTGATATGTATTTTCCTTAGGACATAAGATTATTGTTGTTGTTCTTCTGTGTACTTAAATATGTAGTGTCAGTTTCAGTGTATATTTTTATATATTTCGCATCATTTGTTGGTTATGAACGTGCTATGATGTTGGTGCTGTATAACCACATGGGGGAGTAGGTGCACGGAGTGTGGCTCTTACTTTTCAAACAGGTATCTGAGGAGTAAGAACACAAAGGCATAGGGGACAGTGACATAAAGATCAGAGGCTTTGGCGTAGACCCGGTCCTCCTTATCTTCCAGGTCAGCCCACGTCAGATTCACTGGCAGCCAGATTCTGTCCCACCAGAACCACTCATACAGTGTGTCAAACATCCCTGCTACTTAACACAGCCGCCAGATCCTACAAACACAAGGGGGATAAGTCAAGTTAACTACCAATGAACATAGATCATTGTCTTTTGCTAATGTGTTGAAAAAACAGGACTGTGACATGACTGACAGTTCACAGGAAATTGTCGATAAACTAATAATGAACTAAGAATATCTAAGGAATCAGCCTTTTAACATGGAATTACACTTAATTTGTTAAGTTATTTGATGGGGAGGGTGCTCATTAATCCACAGACAAAATAATATAAATGAGCCAGACTTGGCTATTTAAGCTAATTTTCCTGTGTTGACTTATGACGGTTTACACAACAACCTGAAATAATTATAATAATTTGTCGACAAGGCCCATCTGGAAATTTGGATAAATATTGACATGGACATTGGTCTCACAGGAAGCTGACATTCATTCTGCATATGAAAAAAATGCATTTCGGAATTCAATAATATTCTAAAAGTACAGCATTTGCAAGTACTTGTTAAAGACCATGCATGGCTCCCGTAACCTGAGTTTGCCTGAAGCTGGACACAACCTTTGGTTGTGTGTGTGTGTGTGTGTGTGTGTGTGTGTGTGTGTGTGTGTGTGTGTGTGTGTAAAATGTACATGTACCAATTGTTTTGTCCTCAGCTCTGTGCAAATACTGTGTAGTGCTCAGTCCAGTCTCAACCAGACTGTATAATAACTAAAGGGGAGTTAGTTCTCAGACAAAGACAGAGGAAGTATGGTAATATGGTAATATTCTAGACAGATTCTACAAGAGCTGATGGTAATGCACCCTGAAGTTGGTTTGCACCCGCCAATAGACTGTTACTGTACATGAAGGTCTGTTTCCTAAACAAATATTGACCCAGGGATCCCTCCCTGATTCTCAAGATTAGCTTCCACGCCTATTTAATAATTCTCTTTCTGTCTCCCTCTCCCTTTTTCTCTCTCTCTCTCTCTCGCACACACACACATGTACACAGGGAGGAAGGGAGAGAGAAAAAAAACACTGCTTAGTGAAAGTCTGGGTTGCAGCCCAGCAACACACTAACAGTACAAGGTAATTAATCATTGAGTCAGTGTGTGTGTGTGT